CTATCACCATTTGCAGTCGTTTCCGCAATGTCTGTATTGTATTCAGGAGCTAGAGGTAAACCGAACGTGAGATTGGAGCAGCAATTTCCGCAGGTAATAAACTGTTTGAGATATAAATATTACAAATCAGTACGATTCTATTGAATAATGTAGAAGAGTTATTTTGACAAAAATTTCAGCGTAATTAATCACTTATCATAGCAAGGAATCAAAATTCAAAATTCTCTTTTCAAATTTGATAACTTCATAAAAGCTCTTCGACTCAAGAAAACAACTTACTTGTAAGGGTTTTAGGTCAAACCAAACGTACGTTTGAAAACTATATGGAATGTACTATCAAAAATATTCGGGATCAATTGAAGGACAGAAATTTTACTACGCACTATTCAACCAAAATTTACGATCAAGGAAATTTTTTGCGGCCTGATTTTAAAGATATTGCCAGTCAGCAATACGCTTATGATTCGGCACAGATCGATTTTGCTTCATTTCTGAAAGCGAATGGATCGGTAAAAATATTATTGGGTTTTCAATTAAATTAATTTTGAATTCTGAAAAAAAAACCAATTTAGAAAATAACTTTTCTTCGATATTTCTTTTTTTGTATTTCAGATTTCATTGGCTTAAAAATAAATCAATAAGTGAAAGGTAAATTGAAAGGTGTGATGATCTTAAAATAGGTAAATTGAAAAGTGTGCTGATCTTAAATATTTTTTTTTTTAAATATGCGTTAAAAATAATTCAATATATTATAGAAATTCAATCAGTGGGCAAACCGAAATAAAAGTGTCGGAGTCGGCAGTACTATTCACGTAATGTCGCACTATCCGGTGTACTTATTCAACAAATTAGAGTTCGATGCTTATTGGGAATATGAATTCCCGTCGTTGAATTATACATCACCTTTCCGTTTCACAACATCGCGAAAAATTGATGTACTTTGCAAACAATGTTCATTTATTTATCACTTTGCAATGATTAATAAGGCTGAGTGACAATAGGTTATTCTACTTCGTGACCTGCTATTATCCATCTGACTTTGCGAACTGCAAAGGTAATCAAAACATTAGTTGACTTAAACTGCACAAAACCTCAAAGAACAAAGTGCACTTTATTTTTGGACAGAACTGTTGTCAATTGACGGTTGAATTCAGATACCAATGATGGTAAGGACGGCAGAATTTCCATACTATGAAGATCAACAAATTCAAATGGTATCGTTGCCGTTGAGAAATTCTGAAATGGAAATGTTAATCATTTTACCAAAAAAGATATTCGGACTAGGAAAGTTTGAAGCAAAACTTACAGGAAGGAAACTATTCAGTTACGTTGAAGAACTTATCGTGTCAGGCAATGTTACGGTATGTTGTATTTTCTTTTTTATGATGTTTGCTTAATTTTTTCTCTCCATTTGGTCGTAAATATTCTGTTCTTTTGAATTAACAAATTGCACAGATTTCAGGCAGAATGTATGCCTCAGAAGTTTTTTGATCAGTTAAACTAAAACATGTGGTCATTTTCAGCATTAAAATCAAAATCGAAATTTCAG